ATGATAATGATGATGATAATGATGATGATAATGATGATGATAATGATGATGATAATGATGATGATAATGATGATGATAATGATGATGATGATTATGGTGATCATAGGGGTGTCCAAGGAATTGGTAGAGTTCTATTGAAGTAGTATGAGTCGCGTGCCCGCGTTTGAGGCTCTCCCGAGAGTGTTGCCTTGCGAGGGGGTGAGCCCCTGAGAAAGCAGACTACGTACCAGTCCACCAAGAACGCAATGTCTCAATATTGACATCCTCACCCATGATGTCGCTGGCTTCTCGAAAATGTTCTGCAATTCTATTTTGCCGTGGCCTTGCGCTTTCGTCTGGGCCTTATCTGAGACAGTGGGCTGGCATGTTCAGAGTCTCAGACATTCCGCCATATTGGACCCCGGACTACTCGGGTCTGAGGATAATGTCGCTGGCAGACATTGGAATCCGGGGTGAAGCAGAAGCAAACCCAGAAGGTCGCTGGAACGTGGGAGACCGGGGACTTGGAGTTTTACTTTGGAAGCCCGACCCCCCCCCCCCCCCCCCCGGTAGGGCGTCAACGCAACACAACGTCTTGTCTTTTTCACTACTGGCAATTCCAAATAACATACATGTAACAAGACCTACTGAGAAAGAGTGTCGCATCAAGACCCAGGCCCCAGGCGTTTCCGAGATCCTCCGGGGCTTATAAGTCTTTGAGCTCCTACGTAACCCCCTGGGATGGTTGAGCGCTTTGATGCTCATCCTACGCAAGAACATCACAGGAATCGGGGGGGGGGGGGGAGGCTTCACCTGAAAGAACCCACAGGTCCAGAGGACGTCGCCCATGTCCGCTGCCACGCGTCAGCCCTTTGGAAAGGGTGGGAACGCTATCAAAAAGTCTATCGCCGCCCTCAGCGAACCGTGGCATTAGACTTTGGTCCTAGAGGCAGCTGAAGCAGCGGGCTGCCGCAAAGGCACAGAGGACCGATCCGTCTTGAATCATGGCCCGCCGGACACCGTGTCCCCTGACCGTCCCTCCCACTGTTCCCGTTCCGGCGCAGCTAATAGCTGTGAGTGAAAAAAGGAGGGTGTGGGCATCATCAGCGTCTGTGACTGGAATGTAAAGGAAATAGATCTGGCGGTCCTGGGTCCACTGTGATGACTAGTGGACTTGTTGTTCCTCACGCCACGGGGAGTGCATGTAGACTTTCTGCTGTTTCCACTCGGCTGAAAAGCTTGATGAAGGATGGTGATGCCAAAGGTACCCTTTGCGGCCCTCCAGAGGGACTAGGAGGAGGAAGGGAGCGTGCCGATGAGCGCCAGTCAGCGGAGGCCCGGAACGTCCGTTGCGCTCCGCGGCTGAAGCGCCAAAAGAATGCAAGCCACTCCATTTGTACCCTTTATTTGCTTGTACGCTGACTGGTAGCGTTGAAGTATTGGCCCTCTCGTCTCCCCTTTTTGTGCTTTGCAGCCAAGAGTGAATCTGCCTTGGAAGACATATGATCAATGAATGCAGCAGGGGCTGGTCAATCTAATAGTTGTTTACTTGGCATATTGAGTAGTTCTGTGCACTCTTTTCTGTGAGCTAATGATAGTTGGCGTGGTGTGGTTCGTGATCAATGGTGGCGGTTGAAAAGGGGGGTGACGGTGTGAACCCTTGAGTCAAGTTAGGCTCGCGGATAGCGCTGTCCCTTTTGCCCGGAGTCGTTGGAACACTATAGGCAATCCGTCTTTTGCTTATGTACATCTTCTTGATTTATTTTCTGACATTCGCTCTGGATTGTACGCTGCCGACACGATCCGATTCGTGATTGTCCATGGCGTCGACAGAACAGTACGACGGACGAGTACTGGTGATCACAGCAGCGGGATAGTCAGACTCTAGCGGAAGAAGGAGTCATTTCCTGATTGAAAAACTAAGCTACATTGTTCACGTTGCAGGCTGTGCGCTCGCCAAAGAACCCGACCTCTGCTCGAAAGCTTGCCGGAGCCATTCGGAGCGCGAAAAGACGAAGCTTCAGATCCGCTTACATACCAAATACCCAGGAGCACATGGAATTCTTCGCAGTTTACATGAGCAGATATTTGCCTGACACTTCGGACACGAAACGTCGGAACTCGGACGGTACGCGCTTCGGCATTGTTTTGCCACCAACGACCTATCATTCATCCCCTCAACTCAACTTCCAAGCAGCCGGAAGAGAACAAGAAGCCCGGGAATATGATGTACACCTCGTTAGACAATCATTTGGTCTGTCTAGAGGTACAAGATCTAGTTGATGAGTACATGAGCGGCCACGACAGGACCAAGCTAGCCATGGTAGTGAATCGCCGCACACATCCCGCCGAATAACTCCACCGCCCTGACCCTAAACCTCGGCGTGGTCGGCTTCCCCCCTTGCCTTGTCAATCTTTTCCGCAGGCAGAGAATCCGTCAAACCCATGCTGGCCGCAATTTCCGCCAGCCTAGCCTTCTCCTCGTGCGCAGCCGTGTCTCCAAAGACGGCGTCCATCTCCTCAAGGCTCTTCCCCTTGGTCTCTGGGACAAAGAAGTAGGTGAAGAAGAAGGCAATCAGACAGAAGGCGGCGAAGAAAATGTATGTACCCCAACCAAGTGTCTCGAGCATATCCGGGGTGACAAGGCCGATGATGAAGTTGCACATCCACGTAGCAGAGGTCGTGATGGCCATGGCCTTGGATCGGCTGCCCAAGTTGAAGATCTCAGAGGGCAGGACCCAGCCAATGGGCGCGAACGAGTAGGAGAAGTTGACGTCGTAGATGTAGATGAAGACAATGCCGACCCACCCAGCAGCCTTGTTGTTAACCAGCGAGTCGCCGTAGCCGCCGATGATTCCACCGACAATGACGAGGGAGATGAAGGTACCGGCGGCACCACACATCATGAGGGGCTTTCTGCCGACCCGGTCGATAAAAAACACGGCCGGGAGGGTCGACAGAGTGTTGATGATGCCATAGACACCGGTCGCCAACAGACCTGACGTCTTGCCGGAGAGACCAAGCTGGCGGAACATGGTAGGTGCGTAGTAGATGATGGCATTGCTAGAGAATTGTCAGTCAGAGCACTGCCGCCCGGGGAAAGCTGCGCATACCATCCCATGAATTGTTGGAGGAACATGGTTCCAGATCCAATCAAAAGACGGAAGAACGTTGGCTTGTTGGTGAACAGAGCATAGTACTGCGAGAAGAAGAGCTTGACACCCGACTGGCCAGGGAAGTTGTCACGGGTCAGCGACTCGTCGAAGATGACTTCGGCCTTGATCGCAAGGTACTCAAAGCGAAGAGAGTCAGTGTCGGGATGGACGCGACGCAGCTGAGCGAGGGCCTTGAGCGCCTTGTCCTCTTGTTGGCGCATGAGGAAGTAACGAGGTGACTCGGGGAACCAGAGCATGCCGATTCCCAGGATCAACGCAGGGATGATCTGCACCGCAAAAGGGACGCGCCAGGAAGCGTCAGACTGACCGGTGCAGCCATTGGGCCCAACATCGTTGCGCGGATCGAAAGTGCGGGCACCCTCAGTGCCTCCGGTGTAAGGGATGTCGGGCGCGCAGCGATAGCCACCAATGTACTGGGTGCCATACTCGAGCCAGTAGCTGATGAGAATGCCAAGGGTGATGCTGAGCTGCTGCAGCACAACCAGGGTACCACGGATGCCAGGCATAGAGACCTCTGACATGTACATGGGCACAACCATGGTAAGCATGCCAACAGCGAACCCAGCGATGGCCCGCCCGACAAAGAGCATCGCGACTGAGACGGCACCGGTCTGGAGAGCGGACCCAATGACAAAGATAACCACGGCGATAAGCATGTCGCCCTTGCGGCCGAATCGGTCCGCAACAGGGCCGTTGACCAGTGAACCAGCCCAAGCAAACAAGAGCAGGGCGGCGACGAACCAGCCCTTGAAGCCGCTGTCTGTAGCAATACGTGGGAATGCAGCCGCGAAGGACTCCATGGTCAGGACTCCCGAGACGACGCCTTGGTCATAGCCAAAGAGGAAGCCACCCAGTGACGCGAACTGCATCCTGGTTAGTCTTGGGACTGAAGATGCGTCGACTCGGTCCAGAGTTGCGACTCCACGCGACTTACCGCAGAGAGTCCAAGAAGATACGGGTTCTCCTTCAATAGACCCCAGACACCCTTCTTGGAGGCAGCATCGCCATCAGCAGGTGTCGTGTTGGTCAGTATCTCGGCCATGTTGATAGTTCCTTGGGAACTCAGGAAAGAAAGGAAGTGATGTAGAGTGTGGCAAGATCTTCAACAGTCTTCCAAAGCCTGGGTGTCGTTGCCTTTTTAAATTTTCCCCCCGCCAATGTCATCGACGCCATGTTGCCCAAATTTCTGTATGATCCTTCAGATCGTGTTGGGCCCCGTGGGGAGCGGAGTCGGAGTCACCTGCGTGTAGTCTGGTGTCGGAGAACAGTCGCCCGAGCCAATCGTGAGTTCGTGATCATCTCACACAGGCGACAGCCATGTGCCTACTCGGCATCTCGTTCCTAGTGAGCTTTCCGCCTAATGGTGCTCCACCAGTTCACTGAGTATCATTGGTCCCGTCTCCGCAAGAGCGTGTGGTCTCTCCAACTGCTCCACTGCGACGAACGTCTGAACGCCCGGACGCGTGTGCTCCGAAGTGGTGAGAAACGACGGAAGTCCTCCGAAGGAAGCATGGCGAACGGCCGAATCACGGCCGGAAACAATCCTGGCTCTCATTCTATTTCCTGACTTCCGACATCTGTTGTGTGAGAGGATATCGGCTCGACCTGGAGCATCGGATTCGCTGGCAACACAAACAACCAGGCACTTGCTATCGGGCGGTAGTGTACGATCAAGATGGCCGTCGAACCTGTGATCCAGGGCCTCAATGCCTTGGACAAGACAACGCAAATGTTGCGAGATCGTATCTTGATGCTTCTTGAACGCCAGCAGGAGCAGGCGTGCCAGCAAAACAATCGCGTCTTGGTCGCGCTTGCTGGTGTCCCCGGCTCTGGCAAGTCGACCGTTGGGAATGCCTTGCTGCGAGTGCTTCCCCTTTATAACGTCAAGGAAGTCTGTGTACTCCCGATGGTTGGTCATGCATAGGCCAGAACACTAGCTCTCAAACATTGACCAATTCTCAGGATGGTTTCCACCACACAAAAGAGGCTTTGATGGCATTTGACGATCCGGCTCTGGCGTTCCAAAAGCGAGGTGCCCCTTTCACTTTTGATGCCGAGGCTTTCTTCAAGCTCGTCCAGTGCATTAAAGAGACGCCAGTCACACGACCCGACGAAAAGGCCGTGACATTCTTGGCGCCAGACTTCGACCATGCCGTGGGCGACCCTGTGCCAGACGCAATTCAAATCTCATCAGCGGCCCGCATAGTCATCGTTGAAGGCAACTATACCCTGTTGGACGAAGAACCTTGGAACAAGATCGCAGCGCTGGTTGATGACAGGTCGGTTTAGTCATTCTCATTGCGGGCATATTGCTGACATGGCTCCAGATGGTTCGTCGATGTTACTCCCGACGTGGCTCGCGAGCGCCTAGCGAAGAGGCACATGCAGGCGGGTATTGAGAAGACTTACGAAGCGGCCGTAGCACGAGCAGAAGACAATGATCTTCCCAACGGTGCCCTGATTCGATCAAAGCTGATAAGGCCTGATGTCAGGATATTGAATTGAAAGACGTTTTTCTCGTTACCTGCAGGCTTCTCGCTGTTCAGATACCTGGACCTGCTCCGGGCCATCCAAGCGGCCCGAAGAATTCCGGCGCGTCGTTTGGCCAGGTCGCAAAGTCAATCAGACTGTCATCGAACGGCAGGTTCCACGGATCTGATGCGGCTGGCTGAGCTGGCACAATGGCGCCAAGTATATCTGCACATCTCTGGGCGAGGGGGTTCCCCGCATATGCGTTGCGGAATACGTTTGTGACTTTGTCAATGTCTGCTTGCCAGGTAGCCAGCTCAGGCGAGTCCGTGTCGCCTAGCACCGCCAATGCTACCACCAACGATGCATGAAACAAGAAGTATCTGTATCCTGTCAGCGACGCCTCATCACGTGCCGGCAGCAGGCTTACATGGAATACCATGCCACCAAGCGAGTTGGTATCCTGCTCTCTGTGAAACTGGAGATGGAAGCGATCGTGGCCCTTGCTGCTGCCACCGCCGCGTCCCGGCTCATATTCTCAATGTCAGTGGAGAGAGGGAATGGTCCTTGCTTGGCTCTCTCCACGGCTCTCTTCATCAGGATCTGCCGAAATAGGATGATTTTCAAATTCCAGAACCGCCACCAGAGACGACAACGAGCAAATGAGACCGCCGGCTCGGCGGCTGGGATTTCACTGTCGATTTGGAAATAGGAGGGTAGTCTAGTGACCCAATCATCAAGCTCCTTGTTGAGCGACCAAACATCCTCTGGCGGTAGACCTATGGATGATAGAAGCAGATTTGATATGTGATTGGAGTGGACATGAAGATCGCTTTGCCATTTCAACCCTGCGTACAGAGTTGGCTCCACTGATTCCGTTGGCAAGCTGGTCGTCCGGGCTGTAAGACATTCGTCCGGGATATTCAGCACAGGGTGAACGTCCATGGCCACTTTGCTGGGTAGAATGATCGGTCTCCCGAATGTCGTAGACGCGCCGCTGTCGAAGATGTACAGACCCCACCACACTCTGCGTCGCATCTCACGCTGGAGGAGGTTGATGTCCCAGTCTGGGAGCTCCCGATGGAGACCGAGGCTGAGCGCCATTCTTGACGCAAGTCCAAGAAAATTGGATCCAGTGTTGGGCTTGTTCCTCTTCTGGCTGAGATTGCTCAGCAGAACGAGAGCTTGAATCAAGGTCAAGTTAGCGCTTTCAAAGAGCGATTCGTCTTCTCCAAACTGGAGCGCTTTGTGGTACAAATCATCGTCGACGCCTTCTTGAGATTCGTCAATGCACCACGCACCAAGAGCCAGCACCGTATGCAGGAGCATCTGCCAGGAGCGGTACCTGGGACGGGGTATCACCTCGTGGTACTGTGCACGGAAGCTGGCCTCGTGAATGAACGGATACGTGCGATGGTAGATCAAGAAATAGCTGTCCATGAGATGTTCAACCACTTGCCTCGATCCGATAGATTTAGCAAGGCGGCTTGATGCAGCGACGCGATCATAGTTCTCTGGCGAGTCTCCGAGTCGGCCCTGGGGACCCGGGCCAAGCCCAGGGTACCCAAGCCAAAAGAGCAATGATCTAAGGAAGAACACGCCGGCTGTAGAGCCTACGAGCCACGTCAGTCTGTTCACATTAAGCCATTTGAAGTATTAACTCACCCAAGTAGCCGGTACCTTTAGGTTCGACGGAAAGAGCAGCCATGCCATCTGCCAGCTCGTTAACATCTTCCTGCCAATCGAACCCGTCCGCTTCGGCTGGCACTGCTTCGGAGATTGATTCTTCCAAGAGAACGTCGCTCGCGGATGTTTCTAGCGCATGAGTCGCAACGGGCGTTGCAGATGCTCTTTTCACCTTCAGCGCCTCGAGCCCACCGGTACCCTGTGACGCCAGTGCTTCTTCGAGATCGACTTCAGGCAGTAACTCTGCAAAAAGGTCTTCTACCTGCCGTAGCCTTTGCTCCACGCTCGTGAGATAGCTATAAGCGCATTGTCAGATTTTTCTTGCTCTTGTACGCAGACCGGGGTCATTCCCGCACTGGGACGTAGAAGCTGGTTCACGTACGCTCTGGTGAGAGGCGAACGTGCGATCTTGCCGCTATAGTTGCATACACGTCCATGATGACAGCAAGCGCTACACACGGGCCTCTGCTTGGAACACTACCAGTGTCATATCAGTTCCCTGCCCGAATCTCTTGTTGGCTGCACACACTCACTTTGAGTTTCTTGATGCGGCACGAGTCGCACTGTATCGCTCACGTCAGTCCTATGAACAGTTGAATTTTACATGTGCATTGGACTCACAGCGAGTGTGGTATCAATACTATTCGGCGTTCCCGCCATGGAGAAGTTCGAGTCGCAGCCAATCCGTTGTCGAAAGTTGAGGCTTCTGCCTGGATCGAGACGTGGAGAGTGGCGAGTCTGCGACCAAACGAGATGGAACGACGGGAAAGCAGAGACACGATGTGGACAGTATTAAGTAGCACTGACTGCACGGTATGGCCCTGTCGCTTACCCTGCACCAAGTAGGAATAGCATCGAATTGCGGCTTGGAAACTGCTAAAACCTATTAGCAGTAAAATGATCTAGAAGAATAGTGAAACAAGTGTCACTGATGAGATCCAGCATCTCGAGAAGACTCTAGCAATGGTTAACTGCTTGGGTTACATGCTGCATCTGGTTTTGTGCGCTCAGCTTAGATGCATTGTTCCAAAGTCTGCTGCATGTGCCTTGATTCAAACCACCTCTTGCAATGGACGAATTTCGTCGAGACTGGTTCAACCCGTGCCTATATGTGGAAGTTAGAGGGTGCGAAAAAAAGCTATTTTGGAAAAGGCCAAACGTGACACAGGCCGATCCTTGGATCAGGATTACACTAAGTTGGCATGGTATAAATCTATCGAAAATGAACGAATGGGCATTTCTCGACTAATTACTTATCGAAGAAGGATCTTCTAGTGTGGATCGACAAATCACCTTGATGTTTAGCCGATGCCACCAGTGGACAGACAGCACCATGGTCTTTGGGTCATGTTTGCAATCCAAGTGCACGACTTCACGTGGGCATCTATATCACAACTTACTGCAGAGTTCTCCCTGCTTCTGCTCTTCATGTCTGTCACTTCCGATTAGTCGATGCTTGACTGCATATGAGGTGCACGATCGAGCCCCAAGGTCTCCGCAGCATCGACTCTCTGACCTGAGCGAATCAGATCTTGTGGAACAACAGATGCGGCTTAGAATCACGAGACATCTGGTAATTCACCTACTTGGATAAGTCCTGAGATAGCACGAGACTGCATAGCTCTTCTGAATAACCTGAATTGCAGTCGCTTAGTACCGTAGACTCTTCAAGTTTGGTCTAGAAAGCTAAATGCGCTGAAGCTAATACGGGTCTGTGCACCTTTGTGTTTGAATTTTTATAACCAACGAGAACTTCACATGTGTCGGAATCCTGGGAGAAATCTATGAAAATTCAATCAAAAGCCCGTGCAGATCATTTTCGGTCTTACTAACCTTGACTACATGTACTTATAGCGCCTCTTATGGTGCTTAGACCAGGAAGACTCGATATTGAGGTTCTCATGGAGGGCCAAATCCGGCGCAGCGGGAAAACAGACTCAAATGATTCTCCTCGCGGGCTAAACGTCTGTGGCCGATGCCTTCACTCCTGGTGGATATCCATCCGCCTGACCGTCTGCCTCAGATGAGGCGTCGTGGGCATCTAATACTGCCGGTTGGTGTTGGTTACCGATTGAAACTCAAATGTGTCTGCCTGGCAGATCATTAGGAGAAGCCATGTCAGCGACGCCAACAATGCCTCGCAGCTGTGCAATTGAACTGCAGCAATCGTCGCTTTAGGTTCTTGGCGAATGCATTTTGAGATGCACACTTTGCTTCCGTGACGCAGTAGGCGCCCCGTCGTCGACGGTTTCTCCCATCATGGGATTAATGTATCGAGCTCAGCCACAGCTAGTTCGGATTGATCAATGGTTACACGTATAGAGTTCATCACGCCTCGTGCCCAAGCCCAGGGGCGTCAGGGGCGCCTACCCCTTGCTTAGCCGACGAGTCGACATCGGATTCAAGGTGATGCACTTTACACCGCCATAAATTTTACTCATGTCAATGTGCCCATAAGTAAAGGAGAACATGAGGACGGCGAGCTTTTCTTCAGACGCTGTACTATTGCTGCGCGCGTGGGATATTGGCCAATCTATCAAGTGTTAACTCATTCAGGGGCACGGCAACATCCTAATTTTGAGGTGCTAGTCTTTAAAAAGTCTCCCAGAAGATCCTAGAGACAAAGTTAACACGGTCAGTGCACCTTTTGAGGCTCGGTAGTAACAAGGCGATGAAGTTTACTGTCACCGCCTCTACTAACATCGGCGCCAAACAACGAACTGGAGCCTGTTGTCGGTAAAGACCTCCCAGAAATTAGCACTACACGTCACGGATATGTTGTGTGACATATTTTACGTCCAATAGAAATGGTATGGAGCTTTTGCTACACCATGTCACAACGTCAAGGCCAACTTCGGCTTCAGCGCTCTCGGTGATCAGGGCGTCGGCGCAGCGATTCAGGCGACACACGAAATGGAATTCTGATTTTAGGCAGCTCGGTATTGTGTAACACACGGGCAAAGGGCGAGAAAGAGTGATGCATCTAGAGGCCTTGATGTTGCTTGAGGTATAAGAATGATAACCTCTCAGCGATCAGAAACGATTTGATGCCAGCACCGATTAACACATCAATACTCTGTTCCAATATCTTCAAATTCAAGAAGAAACCCGTTTCGGCAAATTCAAGATCACATTCTTTGACGTGTGGAGCAACTCTTCACCACACTTCATCATGGGTTCTGTTCTCCTCTGGGCCTGCCACTACTGTGGCTTCGACGGGCTCTTCACACAGACCACGCCTGTCTGCGTTGCATGCGAGCATCCCCGCTGCGTTAAGTGCAAAGTTTACAAGAGTTGAGCTTCCATGTCATTTTCGGAATTGGGACACAATTCTGCATGCGAACACTTTGCGAACATAGTTGCGTGGAGTCATCGACGCATTTGACATTGGGCAGTACAACTGTCCACATGTAAGCAGATCATTCGAGCGAAGTTTGACGACATCACTGATTATGTAGCAACAACTCTCGTGAGACTCAGCTCTCTGGCCGTCATCCACTTTCTTTCCAAGTCACTCGTTTAAATCGTAGCGGGAAGTGGTGCATTCACGTTTATTAGGCTTTCATGCATTTTGTCTTTTCATTCAGATCTCTGGGAATGTTTGGCGGTTTTGGTCGTCGGAGCTGGTAAAAGGACAAGGATGTCACATATGTTTAGACTAGAATAGACCAATAGATAGATATACACACTCCTCTGGTACTCACATTGCGTGACTGAGACCGCTCCTCTTACACAACTAAGCTAGGTCGAATTGGGAGATAGGAATCTCCGTTCTGATGCCTTGTTCACGTTCCATGTATCTACCAGAACATGTCTTCGCTCAAAGGGCATCAATCTGAATTTCCAGCCTGCCAGTCAAGTTCGCATAATCTTCTAGAACCCCTTGCCTTTTTTTCGTCTTTAAATCGGTCTTCTCTAGTCGCGCTCGCCACCGCGGGACATCGCGAAACTTGTTTTGGGCGGGTTGTCACTCAGCAATTGCATTAGGATCCAATTCCGATGCTATATGTAGCTCATATATACAAGTTCTAATGTTGCGGATGAAAAATTTGTGACCTGTTTTCGACCAAAAAGCTGTCATGATTGTCCATTTCAACGCTAGTCACCAGCATTGATGTGTACTTGGGAAGTCTGCACCCGAAGATCAACACTCCCCTGGCTAAGTACATGAAGAAACTCTCGACTTTGTAGATATGAGAACCACCATTCACGTATTCAGTTCATTGATCCCATTTTTAATGCTGTTCCATCTCGTGGGTGGTTTGACTCTGTCGGATCCAAAAGGCGTTGATGGGCCTCCAAGAAAAAGGGCCACTCCCCAGCCAGCAAATCATTATCACTTTGCGAAATCGTTTGCACTATACTGCAGTCAATAAATTGAAGGTTGTTGCACAATCTTCGAGTGAATGTTTGTTTGTAGGATGCCACATGTCGACGTGGCACAGCATCCAACTTGAGCGTCGCATGACGAAGCCCCTCAAAAGCTTATATGCCTTCATCCACAAGGGTTCTACAAATATTGCGCATACATCTGAAATGTCTCGAGAATATTAACGTGCTACCCCAGTGATAGTTCAAGGTCTGGTCTGGAGCTCAGGGTTGCGAATCGGATTTCGACGTCGAATTGGACAAACTTGTATACGAGTATGACGTAGTGGCCGCCTTGCTGATGGTATTCGAAGAATGTTCGGGACTGTTCAAATCGGCAGCAGTCTTTTCATATTTCATGCTCAATTCGCTCAATTCCTTAACAGGACTTGCTGTTTCAGACGGCAAGCTCGAATCCTTGATCTGGTGTCGCGATGTGAGCTCCGTGAGGGATGCGTTCGGTTCGGCAACGTGTTCGAGTGCTCTTTTGCGCTGCTCACAGAGCTCCTTGGCCAGCTTCGAGAGTTTATCCTTGCCTGGGCCGCTTCTCTTTTGCTGTTGATGGTTATATATCATTTGCCACGCCTGTGGCAGGAATACTGTATTTTCCAATCGCGGGCTTCAGCATCAACAGAGCAAGCGGTATAGGCTCTTGATGGTTGAAACTGATCGGCCATGTCGTTCATAGGTACGTGTGTCTCGGTAGTTGTTTGCGTTTCCCTGTTTTTGAGGTTTGGAGATCTAGAAAGGTGAGGTTCAGTTGAGGGTAGTAGTATCTTGATACTCATGCCATGCGAAGATGGTCTTCGTCTTTCCTCTGTGTCATAGATAAAGAGAGTGGGTTTGTCGTATAGAGTCTGTGATACAGAGCACGAACGAACGGAATGCCAATCTTCCAGCTTCCAGTCACTTCATAACAAGATTGTGTGACGTGTCTTTGGGGTGTTTAGGACAAAGACAAGAAGCTCAACGCATTCTTGAGGGAATACTCTATGTACGAGTTGTATAGATATTGCCCACTCTTCAATCATGTCTTTCAAGAACTTGGACAGCGATGTTGATGCTCACTGACACTGTGTAGTTTGCGAAGTTGTCCGGATCTAGCCGAGCGACAGGCCCCGCGAGACAGTGCGCCAAAACTTATCGCACTGTGACCGTGACGGGCATGGGACAATCTCCTTTGATTCCGTCACCATCGTCTTTCATTACGCGCTTCACCAATCTTTCATCGCGCCATGCCGCGATGCCGCCCTCCGAAGCTGCCAACCGCAACGCGACGCGTTGGGCGATCCGTATAGTGCCCATAGTCATCTTTGGCGCATTCGGCTTCTCCGCGTATGCCGTCGTTGCGCATCTGTGCGGTTCGTGCCACCAGTCGCTGATCCCGTTGATAGTAAAGCTGACCACCATTGTCGCAGTAAACTATCTGTACCGTCAGAAGCACCAATATGGGACAGCGATAGTGCTCATTGTGCTGTACGCAATCTTCTATTTGCTCACGCTTTGGTCCTACTTGCGAACATTGATCATTGCGAACACCGACCCTGCCTTCGTACCATACACCGAACGTCGCGAAACCGCCGAAAAGGAGCGAAAGGCTGCCAAGGGGAATGGGAAGGCAAAGGGGGGCGATATCGAGTCCCAGGAAAGTTGGTTGCCCGCCGATACAGACCCTGACAGTCCCGGACTCGAGGCGTTCTACAGCAAGGACGTCTTCATCTGCGAATCCGACGGACGTCCAAGGTGGTGCTCATTATGCTGGAATTGGAAGCCGGACAGGGCGTCGCACTCAAGCGAGTTGGAGCGTTGCGTGCGCAAAATGGACCACCTTTGTCCATGGGTTGGAGGCATGATATCCGAAACAAGTAAGCAATGCGTCGTAAGGCTACGTGGTGATGCTGACTCTCGCAGACTTTAACTTTTTCACGCATTTCACATTTTACTGTACTCTTTTTCTTTCTGTTTGTTTGGCGGCGGCGGCGTACTGTTTGCGACTGCAGCAAAACGAAGGGCGATCACTAGACGGACGAATCGTAGCAGTTCTCGTACTTGCCGGCTTGTTCGTTTTTTTCGCCTTTGGCATGACAGCAACATCCGCCAGGTACATCTTTCAAAACATCACTAATATCGACGTGCTTCGCCAAGACCAGCAGCAACACCTGGCTATTCGCGTGCCGCTTGATAGCCCTTCTACACCAACATACTGGACGGTAACATACCCTCTGACACCTTCGGCTCAGATGTCTCTCGATCGGAACGGCGAGCCCCCGCCACGTGCGGATAGGAGGGCAAATGTCCCAAGTGAATCAAAATCCACGCCACCAAGCGCAGCAAAACGAGATGCAGCTGCGCGCAAAACATTTGCACTTGTGAGGACGGAACAAGGGGAGAACCCATTCGACCTGGGCCCATGGCGGAATTTCAAGTCCGTAATGGGCAACAGCCCGCTCGAGTGGCTACTACCCATATGGCATTCACCATGTTGCAACCATGACAGTATACACAGCGATTACGAGTTTGGGCCGTTGATTAATGAGTTGCGGAAGCGATACAAGCTCCCACCACCTGACGAGGACACCGAGGTGAATGGGGGCTCATAGACAGTAGCTTCAAATACTATAATGATAATCTTGGGTAATCATATTCTGTTCCTGTGCATTTGTTGCGGGAAGACTGGAATTTGAATGCATTTCCACTCAACGTTGCTGGATCACGTGCGTCGCGTCAACGATGACGGGGTTCCGAGTGCTCTTGGTGGGGCAACGTCGCGCTTCGACCACGTTATCAACGTCTAGGCGCGTCTGGCCATCGCAGTCCATGAGGTAGGGGATCTGTTCGACTAGCGACCATGTGGCCTGAGTGACCTTGGAGCCGAAAATGCCATCGTCTTCATTACATGGTGGTTCTTCACCATTGCGCGGCACATCGCTGCGACGTTCCAAGTTCACATATCGACAGCTTGCCCAGTTGGCATCATATCAGACCTCGAATCCGCTCCGTGTCATTGCGCACATTGATCTTGATGCCTTCTATGCGCAATGTGAGATGGAGAGGCTTGGCATACCCGAAGATAAGCCCTTGGCAGTCCAGCAATGGTATGTCACGTATCCAGCATCATACAAAGAGCAACATACTGACAGCACCAAGGCAGGGACTCATCGCAATCAACTACGCCGCCCGTGCCGCAGGTATAGGCCGGCATTGCAATGTAGACGAGGCCATAAAACTCTGCCCCGACTTGATTGCTCAGCATGTCGCGACATGGCGAGAGGGCGACGACAAGTGGGCCTATCGTGATGATTCTGCGGCCAACATTGCGACCGACAAGGTGTCCTTGGATCCTTACAGGCTACAGTCGCGCAGGATTCTCGCTACCATCAAAAACGCTCTGCCCTTAGACCTGCAGAAAGTGGAAAAGGCGAGCATCGATGAAGTCTTTCTTGATCTCTCCGCGCAGGTTCACTCCATCCTTCTGGAGCGATTCCCTGAGCTCAACAACCCGCCGCCTTACGATGATCCTACCGAAAACCTGCCCCTCCCATCGATTACCGCCCTCGATTGGGAAGCGGACGCTTTGATTGATCTTGATGAGGAAGAAGAGTCGGTTGACCCGGACTGGGATGATGTAGCAATTCTCATTGGATCTCAGATCGTGCGAGATGTACGTGCCCGCATACGGCAGGAATTGGGCTACACATGCTCCGCGGGTGTAGCGAGCAACAAACTCATCAGCAAGTTGGGCTCTGCCTTCAAGAAGCCCAATCGCCAGACCATTGTACGTAATCGAGCTGTGGCCCTCTTCCTGCGCGACTTCAAGATTACGAAGATGCGCAACCTCGGAGGGAAGTTGGGTGAACAGGTAGTGTCCACTTTCGGTACTGATAAGGTCAAGGAGCTACTTGACGTACCATTGGAACAGATGAAGAACAAGTTGGGCGCCGATACAGGACTGTGGGTGTACAACACCACCAGGGGCATCGACACGACCGAGGTCAACTCTCGGACGCAGATCAAATCGATGCTTTCTGCCAAATCATTCCGTCCCACTATCAGCACCATTGAGCAAGCCGAGAGGTGGCTCCGCATCTTCTCGGCAGACATCTTCTCGCGTCTGGTAGAAGAGGGTGTGCTCGAAAACAAAAGACGTCCCCGTACCATCAACTTGCATCATCGTGTCGGTGGGCAGATGCACTCGAGACAGGGGCCTATTCCACAGGGAAAGACTCTGGACGAGAACTCGCTATTTGAGTTGTCGAGGGATCTTTTGCGTCAAGTTATCGCTGCTGGCAACGTCTGGCCGTGTGCCAATATAAGCCTGAGCGTGGGAGGCTTCGAAGACGGCGTAAAAGGGAATATGGGTATCAGCGCTTTTCTGGTAAAGGGGGAAGAGGCAGAGTCTCTTCGATCAGCCACTCCTGAAATACGGCCCAACTCAGCAGGCCCTGACAGAAGCACCAAGAGACGGCGCGTAGGTGACGGTAACATTCAGCGCTTCTTCGGCAGACAAACTTCAACGGCAGGTGCTATCACAGACGGTACCTTGCCGGACACTCCTAGCATGTCTCGCGATGGATCTGAAGACCAGTCGGTCGACGCGCCCCAATATGTCTGCGCCGTGCAGCATGCTGAGGCACGCAGATGCAGCTCGCCCGACATGCTGCACTGCTCGAGCTGTAAAGAGGATTTCACAAGTGCAGAGGAGCTACAGAGCCATCAGGACTGGCACATGGCCAGGAGCTTACAGGACCAAGAGGAACGTGTCGGCTCCGTATTCGCCAATCGTCCTGCGGCTGCGCGCAGCTCGGCCCCAAAGATCACCGGGTCGGCTTCGAAGCGGACTCGCGGCGGCAAGTTGGAGCAAGGGCAGAGCAGACTCAACTTTGGATGAGTGATCGTCCAAGGACCTGTTATTCGGACCTCAGAAATCCCCAGCCATGATGCTATGCATATTGCATTGATTAGGGGCCGACATGAGGACGTCCGCGAGCTGTGCACGCATCATCGTCTTATCATATCAACGCCGACTGGTTCACAGTCTAGCGGATTGAAGTCAGCTTGCACAACAAGTCGCGCGGGAAGCGGTGTCAGCCTAAGAGCGCCTCTGACGCAGCATATTCAGGTGAGCCGCTTGGCCATCTGTTTGCGCCCTATAACATAAGAGACGGTGAGCCCTGGTGTTGGTGGCTGGTGAGCAAGACAATCGTTGAAGCTACTATCCCCGACTAGTCACCGGTGGAATGGATCTGGGTTCGCGAACTACAGTGCCTCAGCGGATCTTATCGCACTCTCGCACGGCAACATGCTTCAGATCTGCCGCAAATTGTCCTTGTGCGGTCATAATCACAATGGTAAATAGTAGGCAGTTGTCGCCACTATGGGAAGACATGTGGATTGATTGGATAGCACGTCATTGGGCTCCGGTGCGAGCGACTGGCGAATGGATGCAGGTGGTGCTGCGACGTTGGGCTTGGGTCTTGTGAGGCGTTGATACCCAACCCGTCATCCGACCATTTTCAAAGCCAGTGTACGGATAGCGTCTCACGCATCGGGATTGCCCGCCTTTGGCGCACCTCGCTATGCAGTACATTCCAGCGGTAATGACATTGCGAATTCACGAGCAACACGCCGATGATGCAGGCAAGGGGATATGGCTTGCCTGCATCATCGGCGTGTTGCTCGTGAATTCGCAATGTCAAGCTCCAGCCTTGTACATAGCGTGTTGCTTAATCCGAGTGATGCTGGGATTTGTGGACCTTTTTGAAGATGACACAGAGAGGACATTCTGAGTGAACTCGAAGGCCCCAGTCGGTTCCCGAGCTAATACTACGTCCTGTACTTCACTGGTCTCGACGTTGATTAAGAGACTGGCTGGTCTAATTAGCACTTGACGGTAGGTCGCTGCCCAACTTGCGATCGTCGCGAATGAACCAGGTCCAGCCCAGTCTGGCTCTATGGGTACTTGGTCAGGCCGGACGATTAAGCGAGAAGGTGGTTGGTTTGGCACAAGAGCCAAGCACGTCAGCTGCTGAAGCAAGCGACATTGTGTATTTCATGGCGCGTGGGAAGCATGTTTGTAATATGAAATGCAGTGCAGATCCAGGACTCAGCCATAGATGTTCGCAATGTCGATGCGCATGTAATCCAGAGACGTACAGTGAAGTAAGGTGTGAGGGATGTATCGCGGCAGCCCTTGCGGTCGTCTGCGTTCAATTTGGCTGTTGGGCCAGAAGGATTTGATCGGAGTCCGTTGGAATTGGTCTAAGATGGTCCAAGGGCAGCCAATAAGGTCGATGTATGAGCTGGCCTCACCTGCAACGGCGCTGATGTCTGATGGGCGCCTGGCGTTCGCGATCCAGTCTGAGTTCCCAGCAAAACCTGCACGGATTTTCCAGCGCCCCCTCCATGTCAGGCTGGTGGATGATTGGTACGTCGCGCTCGCAGCTGACCCCTGCTCCTTCCTTGCAGAAACACAGGGCAGACCCCGTCGCTCGCTCTTGCCAGCTCAGGGCCTCAGGCTTGCCAACAACTCTGGCCGCCCCCCTCTCGAACCCCGTTTTCCACCTCTTCTCTTCAACCCCCCTCCCCCCCCCGACGGTCGCCTTTCGTCCTATAGCCAACTCAGTTCTCACACTGCTTTCGTTTCTTCGTCGCTCGACACCAATCTGTCACGACTGAATTGGACCCTTTCGACGCTTTAATTTTTACGTCGACACAACGTAGAGTATCGCAGTCATGTCGAGACAACCCCGCAGCCACGGCGCGGCACCTACCGCTGCCTCACGTCAGAATGAATATTTCGTGCCTCGTGACGGCATCGACCGCGAAGTCATCTCGGCAGACGTGTGTCGCTACCTTGGAAATGATGCTCTGGTTCGACCTGGTCACTACGAGGATCCTCAAACTGGACAAGTTGTTCAGGGTTACTACATCACGGCGTACCGAAACTTGACAACCGTGAGCTCCTGTTGCCTCGCTTGAGGGATCGATCCACATACTGAGACATCTTCTTCTACAGGCAATGATCGAAGACTTGAAGGCCGACTCTGCGCGTTGGGATAACGAGCGCCGCGCGCAGACGTCGCGCAACACTGCTGGAGGTACATTTACCTCGAGATCTGCCTCCGGCGTACCTGCCAGATCACCATCTAACTCACCCATAGTTCAGTACCGCATGTCCGAGACACACCACTCGAGGCAATACCATGGACCAACCGAAGGACCCGTGCAACAGGACCCTTATGCTCGTGAATCTGCCTTGAATGGACCCAGATACCCTGGAACTGGTACTCCTGGCTATACCGGTGCCGCTGGCGGGTACCAACAACAGCCTGGATATGCTCCCCCCAGTGGCGGAGGCTATGGTGGCTACCAACAGCCCCCCTCACAGTCTCCTCAGCCGGATCCTAGATATGGAAACTCTTACCAGCCGGCGCCGTCGTCGGGAATGGACCGTGGATTTTCCAACGCTCAGGACAACCAATCTCCGTACATTCACACTGGATCAAACATGACAAGCCGAGGATTCCCTCCAAATGACGGCTTTTCCGGACAAAGATTGCCTTCTTCATCGGGTGCTCCTCAGCAACCCATCTATGCCTCGGCCCCTCCATCTCAGACTGGTTATACCACTACTTCACCTTACCAGCAGTACCCCCAACATGCATCTGGCAATCAGCCATATCAATCGATGCATCCTGCGGAAGCTGCCGCTTATGGCCGAGGTAAGTAGCCGGCGAGCTCAACCAGCCAATCTCTTCCCACGTTTTCGCTTCAGTCGTCTGATGATTTAGCGTCAGCCTCTCCCGCGGGTCAAGGAGCTCCGCAGCCACCTCCCGGTTTCTCACAAGGTCCCTCGTATGGTGAGACTCCTAGCAATCGGATTTCTGTACCCCCCGTGGCACCTCCCACAAACTCAAGTGGCGCCAACAAACGTCGCAGTGAACGTGACGACGACAGACATGGATCGTCAGATCGTCACTCACGCCAACCCCGGCGGTGAGCACTGCCAAAAGGACTATGGCCTAATGATCAGCCGATCACCAGGGGTCCTTCTTGAAATGACCATGCGATGAATCTTTCTTGCATATCCAGGATACTGTGCCATTGAAGTTCGAATTCTGGATGCGGCGTTCTTGATTTTCTTTACCTCCTGGAACATAACGGATCGGTCACCCTTTCTTTGCGCGCTGCGTCGAATACCTTCTTTCCTTCCACCCGGATGGATGCGGACGCTTGGACAAAGTGCTTTTGAGCAGTGCTTGTTTTCACGGCAGCCGCCTGTGCTTGGATCATGGACCCCGTGCTTTATCGGCATTCGCAACAAACCGGACCCCTCTCGCGTACTAGGAGCGATTTGCAATTTATGAGACCCACGGCCGTTGGGAGCGAGGTTTGAGCATTTCCCGGAGTAGCTGGTTGGGATAGGTGGGAAAAGATTGGCTTCGGTGGACGAAGCCATTGACTAGAAAGGACCTGCAAGCGACTTTACTGTCCGGACACTCGGCCATGGGTGGATTTTCTGTGCTCGTTCTTCCGGATCTGGGACATAATTTCTACCCAAGGATTTCCTATCAGGTCCCATTGGTCAGCGCATGCATGCATCGCTTTGTTAATAAATGGTAAGGCCCAGTGTCCGGGCGGTGAGGTGAGTCGTCTTTGCAATTGTATATACTACCATTGTTCAAAGGACACCTTATTACCTCACGTTTTCTCCTACCTGGATCATCTCCTTGGCCTCTTCATGGAGAGTATCGCACTAACTGAGCAAGCTCGTGGTCTAAGTGACAATACGCCACCTAACACATTTAGAACTACCCTTTTCTTCCGCGGAAGCTGCCATTCTCGTTCACTAGCAACATCCGGACGCTGGCAACTTTGCACTTGGAATCACTGGACCCAGACCTCAAACAGCGAGGGCCGAGAGATGGTCCGCGTCGTGCAAGCCGGATATCAGGATATTGATATTGATATATAGAGTCCGGCGTCAAGCTCTCACTCATTTCGACGCCTCATACTTCGTCTCAGCAATCCTTATTCGGATACATCGGCATACGTCCGCCGTCAAACTCGCGAATTGGACCAAGCATCGTGGCTTACCTCGTGGTTCTTACGGGTTCGTGTGAGGTCTGCTTTTGGCATTGTTCGACAAGTTGCAGCCTTACCTAGTCGAGCCGGCGACGCTCACGCTGCTGCATAAGATGCTCGAGGCTCAAAGTTTCATCGGGCAGTGGTTGCGGGACTGAGCAGGCTGGCGGTGATGGCACGGGTGGCTGTTATGGGTATCGATGGTGAGCGCGGGCTCTCCTGCCTGTGGATGAGGATGTGATGGGCAGATCTCAAAATCAAGCAACCGTGGACGGCGTGTGTGCGTCAGGGGCCTTCTGTCCACTGTGCTGCGCTGAAGTCATTCTCCAGTTTCATGCATTCCATGCACTTTTACGTCTTCGTCCTCGTTCTCGAAATTGTCCGGCAGATGGTCCTCAATCTCATTAGGGCCACAGGTCTCGCCACATTGCTTTGCGAACTCGCTCCGAAGTTCCTCCACAAAACCTGTCACTGCTCTTGAGTTTGTCAATCCAAGGCACGAGCGCCATTTCCCTTGGTCAGACTCAGGCCGGGCCACTAACTTGGATGTTGGTCCAAGCTGTGAATGATCAGGGTAGCTGGAGTGCTCGAGGGGCAATGATCACCAGGATATGCAAACAACTTTGGCTTGTTCGTTTCCCATATGAGAATAGACAGCATGCCAGAAACTTTTTAAAAATGATCGAACACGAGACGCGAGAGCGGGCAAGTATGGCTGAAGAAACAGATCCTGATAACTAACTATAGGGTAGGCACAAAAAAATCTAACTCCCTGAGTCATTCACCTTTATTAGATGCTCATAC